TGCCACGGCCGTGGCGATCACCCTCCGCGATCACCCCCCCCTCCGTCCGAGCATCGAGGATCGACACGCCCATCCTTTGATCGTGGATCCTCATCGACACACCAGATCCACCCTCCTTGATCGTGGATCCTTGATCGTGAATCCGCCCTCCGATCCTCGATCCACCCCGGACTTCGATCGATCCACGTCCACGTCTTGGAGCGAGGCGAGGGGGTCACGGAAGGGGTCGGTTTACTGGGGTGGTCGGCCGGGCCGCCCCTGGCTTCCGACCCCCCCCCCATGGTGGGCGCGAGGTGCCCCGAGGGCCAGCAACAACGGCCGTAGCACAATGCAGAAGAACCGCATTAGAGCGTGCACTTTCGGAAGTCCGCGCGTATTCGATACCTCGGTCGGCACCAGGCCACCCACGGGTGGCGCCTCTAGCGCCGCCCCTGGCGCGCTCGGGGCGCCAGAGAGGGGGCGCGGCAGCGCCGACCAGAGAGATCTGCGCGGACCCTCGACCATTCCATGTCTGTGTGGCGACTGATCTTCGAAGGAGGGAGGCTCTTTTACGAAACTGCCGCACCTCGCCCTACGCTCCCATGCGTGCGCCAAGTGACGCCGAAAAAAACGCGGATATTTCAACACTGCGGGATTTCAGCGCCAAGCTGGACTGCGGGTATTTCAGCCAGTCATAGTCCAGCAGCGCGGGGCCGGGGCCAGCGGTCTCCCGGGAGCGGGCAAGGGATCAACATGGCACTGCCTCGGCTAGCATCCGCATGTCGGGCTGTGCCAAAATCCGTGCGATGACATACGGCTTGATCCAGCCCATGACGGCGACATAACGCAGGAGCGAAGCGGAGACGACCACAACCGCTGGGCTGAGGAAGCCGCCCCAGGCGCCCGTTTTAGAATGGCGCGCGCAAGTCATCACTGCTGGGGGGTTCAAGGTCGGCCACGGGGGCCTTCAGGAGCAATTCCCTCAGCCCAGCTGTTGCAACTGTCTCTTCGTCGCAAATGAATAACGAAATTGCTGCGGAAGAAACATGGCAAATAACTTCCAGGTGGCTCTGAATCCAATTCTTGTCACACAGGGTTCGCAGGTGATTATATACAGGCCAATTGCGCCTGGCCTCTGTGTAGGATTGGCTGCCCGCGCTAGAAGTGAACGCCTTCTGTACACCATGCACATATGTTATACTCACTCAGCCTAGTCATTCCTGGGTGGAATGCGATGCGCTGGAACGCATTCAGCCAACAACTGACCTCTACACATTGTGTAGAATCCTAGACACCACCCAAAAAAGGTGTCTGTCCCCGCCCGAGGCAAGGAGGAGCCGTGCTTCGAACTAGCTCGCCGCGAGGGCCCTGGAGGGAAGTGGCGACGCGCGGAACGTGCAGGGTATGAGCACGCTGCCTGGTGCTGGCAAGGCCCCTCCGCCGCGCGCCGTGCCGCAGGAGGCGGCACCGCCCGCGCGGTTCAAATGCTGCCAAACGTGGCCGACGGGCACGACGTTCGAGCGATCGGAAGACGAGCCAATCACTCGCACGTTCGCGGCAAAAAATGTGACCGGGCGAGCGGCGCGGAGAGCCACGACAGAATGGAGGGGAAGGAATCAATGATATGCCTGCATGTGACCGTGCCAGACCAACAGCCTCGGCCTCCGATCTCCCATCCCGCTCCTCTTTTCTTGAGTGAGTCCCCCACATCGTGCACATAATTCGGCGGGGGTCACACCAACCTTCGGGGCGTAGGTGGTGGGCAAGACAAGGTGGAGCCAGCCGGCTTGATACGCCCTCTCAAGGCGCCTGGGAGGGAGCGACGGGTATTGACCGAGCCGCAGGAATCCGCCTCCGTGTAGCTAGGCACGGAGGAGAGTATTCCAAGGTCCCTTCGAGTTCTCTACATTGAACATCGTAGGTGCACGTGCACCTTGACATTGGGTCCAAGCCCCAAGGAATTCTTGGGCGCTTCTTCTTTTTAGCGAATAAGAATCCAAACGTGCATTTTACACAAGCCTTGAGGGCTTGGACGGAAGTCCGGTCCACACTTCCCACGTGTTCTATTCTGGGCCCATGGGACCCTGGATCGCTTAGGCCGTCTGGGAGGCGCCGGGGGCTGGCACAAGAAACCAACATCATTGAACACGCTTTCGAACCTTGTATGGTCACGCTCGCCTTTTCGGCTGCAAGGGCATTCAAGACGGCTCAAGCGCCCCCAAGATCGACACAACACTGTTTTCGATTCCCCTGAGGATCCCACGATGCCCCCACGAATCCCCCCATTACCTCCCCAACAACGGATCCGAGAGGAGCCGAAGCGGGGGAACTCGAGCTGGAATTCGCAACCCCCTGCCCCAAAATGGCTCTCGAAAGACCCCAAAGACCCCCCAGGGGCCCCCGAGAGGTCTCGGAAAGGTAAAGGTACCACTGGATCCGCCGCCCCCTGTGCCTGCCACAGGGGTGCGTGGCGTGCCAGGGCTCGAATGCCGGTGCTCCGAGGGCCACTGCTAAATGAGAGTTGTAAGGGGGCAAAAGCATTGTGGGCCCCGGAAACGGCAGGGCCTTTGTTTCACCGTTTCCAAAAAAAAATATCCCTTGAAAATGGAAACGGCAAAAAAACGGCGACCGGAAACGGCAAAAAAACGGCTCCAGGATTGGAACCGGAGCCGGAACCGGTCAAAAAACGGCGACGGAACCGGTAAAAAAACGGCCTCGGAACCGGCGAAAAAACGGCATCACGGAACCGGTAAAAAAACGGCCCTGTTGTTTCCAGGGCCCACTAGGGGCCGATATCAGAGCAGCAGCAAAACACATGAGCTTAAACTGCCTGTTGTCCGCGCGGGTTTCTTGGATCGGCGCCTTGGGCGTTATGGCGGCGCCTCCGCCGACCTCGGGGGGGCGAAAGCGCCGAGCCAGGACATCCGCGCGGAGCCTTAGAACGTTTTCCCAACCATCCTGTGGTGTTGAGTCCTCGTTTTGAAGAGGCGGTCCCCGCGTTCATTCCCTCTCTCCTTCCCTACCTCCCCCCTTCCTCCTCCCCCTCTTCCCTCCTCCCATCCCTGCCTCTGCACTGCGCATGTCCTCTGCGTTTCGTGACCACATAGGGAGCTCCACCTAAAGCACCAGTTGCGGTGTCCACATGCGCCTCCCCCACCCACCACAGCGCGTGGCCCCATAGGGAGCTCCACTCAAGGCCTCAATGGCGGTGTCCACATGCGTCTCCCCCAGCCAGCATAGCGCTTCGTGGCTCCATAGGGAGCTCTCATTAAGGCCCAGGCGGCGGTGTCCACATGCGTCTCCCCCACCCAGTACGGCGTTTCGTGGCCCCATATGGAGCTCCACCTCAGGTCGCAGCGGCGGTGTCCACATGCGTCCCCCCCCACCCAGCACAGCGCTTCGTGGCTCCATAGGGAGCTCCACCTAAGGTCCCAGTGGCGGTGTCCACATGCGTACCCAGCACAGCGCTTCGTGGCCACATGGGGAGCTCCACCTAAGGTCCCAGTGGCGGTGTCCACATGCGTCTCCCCGACCCAGTACGGCGTTTCGTGGCCCCATAGGGAGGCCCCAATGGCGGTGTCCACATGCGTCTCCCCCACCCAGCACAGCGCCTCGTGGCTGCATAGGGAGCTCCACCTAAGGTCCCAGTGGCGGTGTCCACATGCGTCTCCCCCAGCCAGCATAGCGCTTCGTGGCTCCATGGGGAGCTCCCATTAAGGCCCAGGCGGCGGTGTCCACATGCGTCTCCCCCACCCAGTACGGCGTTTCGTGGCCCCATATGGAGCTCCACCTCAGGTCGCAGCGGCGGTGTCCACATGCGTCCCCCCCCACCCAGCACAGCGCTTCGTGGCTCCATAGGGAGCTCCACCTAAGGTCCCAGTGGCGGTGTCCACATGCGTCCCCCCCCACCCAGCACAGCGCTTCGTGGCCACATGGGGAGCTCCACCTACGGTCCCAGTGGCGGTGTCCACATGCGACTCCCCGACCCAGTACAGCGTTTCGTGGCCCCATAGGGAGGCCCCAATGGCGGTGTCCACATGCGTCTCCCCCACCCAGCACAGCGCCTCGTGGCTGCATAGGGAGCTCCACCTAAGGTCCCAGTGGCGGTGTCCACATGCGTCTCCCGCACCCAGCACAGCGTTTCGTTGCCACATGGGGAGCTCCACCCAAGGTCCCAGTGGCGGTGCCCACATGCGTCCCCCCCATCCAGCACAGCGCTTCGTGGCCCCATAGGGAGCTCCACGTAAAGCACCAGTTGCGGTGTCCACATGCGCTTCCCCCACCCACTACAGAGCATCGTGGCCCCATAGGGTGCACCACCTAGTGGCGATGTCCACATGCGTCTCCCCCACCCAACACATCGCCTCGTGGCTGCGTAGGGAGCTCCACCTAAGGCCCCTTTGGCGGTGTCCACATGCGTCTCCCCCAGCCAGCACAGCGCTTCGTGGCTCCATAGGGAGCTCCCATTAAGGCCCCAGCGGCGGTGTCCAGATGCGCCTCCCCCACCCCGCACAGCGCCTCGTGGCTCCATAGGGAGCTCCACCTAGGGCCCCAGTGGCGGTGCCCACATGCGTCTCCCCCACCCAGTACGGCGTTTCGTGGCCCCATATGGAGCTCCACCTCAGGTCGCAGCGGCGGTGTCCACATGCGTCCCCCCCACCCAATACAGCGCATCGTGGCCCCATAGGGAGCTCAACCGAAGGCGATACCCACAACTGCGGTTACTCACAACTGCATATGGTTGGGTCCTCCGCTAGGCGAATTGTCTACGCAGCTTGAAAAGCGGCGTGCACGTGGATCGTAGCTCGGAAGGGGTGGAGTGGGGGGGGGGGGGGGCAAAAAGGCCGATACGGCCAGCTCGAGCGGGTCAGCTCGGAGAGGCGGAAGACTAAGCTTCTGGAGCTGGGGCGGGCGCTGTCGCTCACGCGGAGCAGGTGCCGCCACGGGGTCTCCCTCGAGGCCGAGCCCGGCCCAGCGCGGCAGCGAGCGGACTTGCCGCCCCCAACGGGGCCTCTCCGCGGTCAGGGCCCCCGCTCGCCGAAGACCGCGCGGGCCCGCCTCGGGGGGCGCAGCTTCTTGGTGGGCGGCGGGAAGGGCTGGCGGGCGCCTCGGGCGGGCCATCGGGCGCTGCTCCCCCCCCCGGCGGCCTCCTCCTCCTTCTCCTCCTCCTCCTCCTCCTCCTCCTTCTCCTCCGCCTCGCACCAGGCTCACTCGTGCGCGAAACCTGTTTTGATCGGAGGTGGGAGGAGACAGGAGGAACCGGATGCATGCACTCACACCCTGGGTGGCTTTTGCTCTCGAACGCAAAACGGCAGTGCGTTTCATGATATGGAAAAAAGGTAGGTGGTCGCGCGTGCTGTAACGGAGCGGTGGCATCAGGGGTCACGCAACGAGCTTCGTGACGCCGTGTAGTGACGCCGTGTGGTGGACATCGGTAAGATCAGAATTCGGGCTGTTGTTTTTGAAAGCATACACGTTGTGTTTGAACATCAGGTGTGGGAAAACGGCGGTTGTATGTCAGTCGAGATGCATCCCAATCCACGAAACGCGGTATAACGTCGTTGTGGCACTTAAAAGGGAATGTACACGAAAGCGGCGTCGGAATGGCTTCACTTCCAAAGCGCCCGTGGTGGAACCGAACGACTTTACCCAACCTCAAGGACCAACTGCGAAGCAGGACCCGCTGGTGTACCCCCCCGGCACGTCAGCGTGTCAAGACATCGGTGTGCCACACCAGCGCGTCATAGAACTCATCATAGTGACGAAGGTCCTGCGATGGTCCACACATGCGGAAGGTCAGCCTTCAATGGACTGGTGTTGGTTGAATGCCCCATGTTGTGCTTGTTCGCCCACCAGCATGTCCTGACATCGGTGTGCCGCACCAGCGCGTCATGACACCCATCACCATGATGTCCCTGCGGCGATGCACGACTGGATGCGCATACGGAAACCCAAAGTTGCATGTGTAACGATGGCTCTGCCACTCCAGCGTGTCAGGTCAATCATCATCACGATGATGCCCATTCTGCGACGACGCACACAAAAAATGTAACCGTTTTGTCTGGGGCGCATTAGTCGCCAGCGTCCGTTGATACATTCTGCCGTGGGCAGAGGCCACGCGGGTCGCGAGCAGCGTGGTGGGAGAAAGCGCCGCTCATAATTCAGGCAAAATGTTGTTGCTCGAACCACGAAACGCGGCACCGAAGACGAGATGTCCACGACATCACAGTGCAAACGGTTTCCCGCCCAAGGGTTTCGCGAGGGGGCCCAACAGTCTTACTCACACATTGGGTTCGGTGCTGATCGGAGACCCATGGTGTATATTATTGGGGACCCGACGTGTCATTAGTAATGGTATCGGTGTGCCACGCCAGCGGGTCATGGCGCTCTCACCATCATGATGGAAGTGCTGCAATTATACACGACTGGGTACCCACAGTGGAGTGCCGACTTTCAGTAGGACGGTGCTGAATTCGGACCCCATGATGAATACATTGTGTAGACCCTGGGCGCACCGGCGCGTCATGACATCCACGTGCCAAGTCCTGCGCGTCACGGCTCATCATGATGATGGTCTTGCGACGATACACGACTCGATGCAGCTGCGGAGGGCCAGCGTTCCATGCGTATCCATCCCTCTGCCACACCAGCGTGTCAGGTCACTCATCATCACGATCGCGCCCTTTTTGCGACGACACACGCAGAACATGCAATCGCTTCGTCTGAGGCGCATTAATCCCCAGTGTCCGTTCAGTCTGCCGTGGGCAGAGGCCAAGCAGGTCGCGCATGCGTTTGCCAGGAACCCTCCTTCTCGCCCTCCTCCTCCTGCTCCTGCAGCTTCGTCTTCTTCCCCTCCTCATCCTCCTCCTTCTCACCCTCCTCCTTCCCTTCCTCCTATTCATCATCGCTCCTCGTTCCTGGCTCCTCCTCCTCGCATCCCGCTCCTCGGTCCTTCTCATGTGTCTCCCAATTCTTCAAAAATTGAGCTCCTCCTTCCAGACCGCAGCGTGTTGTGGAAGGCCGTCGGCAGGAATAAGTAGAAGCGACATCACAACCACCAGCGCGAGACGCCACAGGGGTTCATCAAAGTGGTGTGATCCCCCTCCCCGATCGAGACATCCCCTCATCGTGGGCCTCCTCACTGGAATGGCACCTCTGGTGGTGGTGTTGCTTTTGTTTCCTCCGACCCGGGGCAGCCCCATGACATCCCCGTGCAACGACAACAAAAAACAAAACGGAAGGTGTTTGGCAATGTTTGGTTTATGGGGGCTCGGGAGGACCCGTAGATTCCAGCGGCGTTCCTTTTGCCATAGGGACTCCTTTCCAAGTCCTGTATAAAATTGTTGTTCTGTGGAATCAACAGGCGCTCCATTTTGTGAGAAGTATTCCTTGTCAAACTCTATATGCAACAGTGGTGTTCACTTGCGCACGGTTGCTGTAGCGCACACAAGCGTCGTGGTGCACACAGACATTGAAGTGCACGCTGTGGTACAGATCGCCACCTACATGCTGTTGCTACCCATCCTCGGTCACCCCTAAGCATTCCCAGACGCCGCGTGCGCGAAACGTGTCGTCATCGGCCCCCTCCACAACCACCACCCCCAAATGATTGCCGTCATCGGCCCAGAAAAACAAAACGGGTTCCAACCGCGCCCGGGCGCACGACGACGATGAATGCGAACCTAATTCCTATGCGAGTTCCTATGCGGACGCATCTGCGGATCCCGATGCGCACGGCGGCAATGCCCAGGGCGCACTTGGGGGGCCTGGGGGTGGGGAACGTTACGTCATAGAGGAGGGCGGGGGCCATGACTCCCGTCATGCCCCAAGAAATAAGGAAGCACGCTCCATCCGCGGATACGGCGATGTTTTTCGACCGCGCGCCAAAGAGCTGGGAGGTCTGCTGGGGGACCCAGGGCCGATTCAAGGAATCTGCGCAGAGCCCCGAAAGTGTGTGTGTGTGTGTGTTCTCTCCTGTTTCCTTCGATTCGCAGCGCGCACGAGGACGCGGGCGCGGGCGCCGGGTGTCCGTGGGTGCCTCACGAAGATCGTATGGTTTCTTGATGCGCGTCCCCGTTGTAGCCTCTGCCGCTACAATCAAAAATGATGAGGACGCGCGGTAAGGACGCTAGACCGCTGGATGCCCAAATTGAATTGAAAATTGATGCCCTAGACAGCGCGCGGAGCAAATCCCAATAACGCAGGGATGCCCTAGCCGACCCCCGGCCTTGCCACATTGGCGCGCCGCGCCGCGCAGTCTAAGGACGCTGCAAGCCCCAATGATATCCTGCGAGGCCGGCCAGCGAAAACGACTACGGACGGGCCGAAGATGCAAGGACGAGAGGGCACCCTCGGAACGTGACTCGTGCTTGTTACAGAGAAACACAAAACATCATACCTTCATAAACATACACTTTCGACGGTCCGCGCGGATCTCTTGGATCTGTCCTGACCCCCTCTTACTGGCGCGCGGAGCTCGCCAGGGGCGGCGCCGGAGGCGCCGCCAGGTGGGTCCCGCGCCGATCCGAGAACTCCGCGCGGAGATCCCACAGTTTGTGTTTACGCAGTTTCATGGTTGGCCGCGCCAGCTCATTCAGGTGCAGACTCGGCGCTTCTGAGTGGTCTCTTCTTCTCGTTCCCGTCCGCGGCCGCCCCCTCTGCCCTCTTCCCACTCTTGCACGCTGGCCACTTCGCTTCTCGGTGCCCCCGTTTAGCTCTATCGCAGGTTCAGCCAACTCTACCTCGCCGCCGACGGAAAAAGCTTGTGCAGTTTCTTGTTGTTCGATAGTTATCGTGCTTGGATGTAGCAGTAGCAGCACGAGGCAACCCTGCTGCGAAGCGGGGATACATCCAGATCCACCGCCCGTCAAACCGAAGTTCTGGGACCTGAGTGGAATGTGGGCATGGTTATGGGTATAGATATGTTTGTATATATATATATATATGTATAAAATATGGGCCCCAGGGGGGGGCCGAATCTGTCCAGATCTACCGCCTGTCGACAACTCCAGAAATCGGCCCTCAAGGCGGCGGTCATGTACAATGCCCCGCCTCGGACCCTTCTGGAGGAAGTGGGGAAATCAAAGGGCACCGACGCCGCTACTCCCTGGACCTCTCCTGAGGTGCGTTATGACCAGGATGTCGAGGCGAATCCAGCGGTGGCGACGAGAACCTCCCAGGAGAGCGACAAAGGGGAACACGGGCGAGGGGAGAGAGCATGGGCACCTCTACCTCCTCCGAGGAAGGAGGGGGGGGCGCCTCGGAGGAGGATGACGGGGCGGCAGCTGTCCGGGACCGAGGGGTGCATCACGGGGCTGTTGCGGTAGCGCTCCACGTTCTGCTTGAAGCCTGGCGGGTGGCCGACGCGCCCTCTGCGCGTCTGCCCCCCCCCTCTGGTTCGCCGCGCGGGGCTGCTCCTCCACGTCTCGCCTCCGCGTCATCGCCTTCCTCCGCCTCCTCCTCCTCCACCTCCTCCACCTCCTCCCTCCTCCTCCCTCCTCCCTCCTCCCTCCTCAACCTCCTCCTCCTCCTCCGCCTCCTCCACCTCCTCCTCCTCCTCCTTCTCCTCCTTCGGCGTTTTCCTCATCCCAAGAGGGGCTTGGGGCGGGAGACAAGGAGACTGGCTGGGAGCCGATAGGGACGGAGACGGGGAAAAGAGGGGAGACCGACAGGAAGCGAGAGATGTAGAAGGACAAGGGAAGAGGGGATAGGGGAAGGTGAGAGTGACGACGGAGGGAGAGGGGCGGGGAACGGGGAGTCGAAGCCGAGGGGGAGGGGCGGGGAGGGCAATTCGAAGTCGAGAGAGTGGATGGTAGGCGAGCGCGATGGCAGGGGGGGGAAGTCGAAGCGCAGATTCCCAGGGCTGAGAGCCTTGCTCGAAGCAGCTCCACACCACCTCGCAGGCCTGCGTGCACCACGCCGCGCGCCAGCGCGAGAAGCCGTCGAAGGCGTCCAGGAATGCCGCGGCGTCCTGCACGGCCCCTGTTCAACACTATTGCTCCAAAAAGGGTGGCTCAACAACACGCAGGCTGGAGGAGGAGGAGGAGGAGGAGGAGGAGGAAAGGAGGAGGGAGGAGGAAAGGAGGAGGGAGGAGGAGGAGGAAGAGGAGGAGGAGGTGGAGAGGAAGAGCTGGATCGAAATCGCGAGATCTGCTCGGCTTGGAGGCGGCTCGGATCGGCAACGACTCGCCCCGCATCGCATCGGCATCGGATCGCCGCGCCCAACCTTCCGCTGGCCCCGACCTGTGCCAATGACATTCGCGCGACGTCGGAACCGCGGCCCCAACCGGCGCATCGAACCGCACCGAATCTCAAACGGCCACAGGCCACTACAGCGTCACGACACCCCGAATGCCGCAGAAACGGCCTCAGGGCCACTCTGGTGGGTTTTCGGTGGGATCCAGGCCCGGATCGATATGCAAGAAAGCCAGGCGCCTTCCTGCCACCTGCCGCCTTCAGAGGGCCACGCCTGCGGTGCCCGGACAAGAACTGGCCACACTCATCGCGCCACGACACCGCGACCGCAAAGGACGTCTACTCCGAGTCTCTTGATTGATAAGCGTCGGGGGGGGCGCCATCCCCCGCCGACAGACCCACAGCGACCCCCGTCGCGGGCAGCCTCTGCGCGCCGCAGGCGCTCTGACCCCCGTCGCGGCGCGACGACGAGGCGAGGTTGACCCCCGTCGGGGGGGTACCCCCCCACGCCCGTCACGAAACCCAGAGTATGCAATATCGATTGCCCCCACCCCCTGGCCCAAAGTTGACGGCGGGCGCGACGCAAAGCGCAAGGAACACCATCTGGGCACTTAAACTTTGGGTCTTGGGCAAGGGCGGACATCATATCAAATGTGCTATCATGTCACATTGGCTTCGAGCCGTGAAGGTGTGCACCTCTTGCCCAGAAACCGTCCCGCAAGAGCACCGCGCTTGCCAAGTTCCTGCAACTCCCCCGCGCGCATGTCGCGCGCCACATGTGGACGGCGGCGTCGCGCTGGACTACAAGCATCGCAAACAAGGGCGAGAGAGCGTTCGCGGAGTACTACCTGCAAACGTAACGACACACCTTTTCCCCCACTTCCCTCCGTTCCCCTCTGCGCAGGACTCACAACTTCCTCGAACGTCGTGCGAGCCTTTCTACGTCATGAATGAATGTTGCGTTGGCTTTCCCAGATCGCGCCCCGCCCGTTGTCTGATGTGCCTGCTGTTGATCGTGCCGCCAACAAGGAAACATGTCCATGCCTCACCCTGACCCTGGTCATTACCAGTCTCTTTCTTGCTCCCCGTCTTCTCGTTTGAATCATCGCCGAACATTTTCCGTCCGCGCCCTCACTTTCACCGTGCTCGTGCGCTTCATTGCGGACGCAAGCGTCGAGCACCGCGCCATGATATTAATAGTGGGGTACACACGTCGCTCATAGCTCTCGGCTACAAACCACAAAACACAATATCAGCCTTGGTCGTACAAAGGGTACCCATGGATATGGCGCGGGAACACACTAGCATTGCAGGGCGCGTGGCGCAGGCCAGTACAAGCCCCACATGACACGACGCATTGCGTACACAGACATTGTGATCGACACTTGTACTGTGAGGCATACAGGCATGGTGGTGCATGCAATAATTGTGGTGCGCGCGAGCGAACGCTGTTGTCATGTTGTTGCACATACGCACTGGCGCGCACAAACGAACTGTGGTGGGCCAACACAAGCACGCATCGTGGTGCAGGACGCCCTCAATGGTACGCCACCAGCGGTGGTGGTGGATTCTCCAGTGGTGGCATGACTGCTTCAGAATTATTTGTTTTGGCGGCCTCACAGGATGCTTCCTGGTGTGGAGGCCCGACAGCAAGATTTCTGTTGGCTGCATTGCAAGAAGGAGCCCGCATGTGGACGTATTGCGAACCAATGCCTGGTGGTGGTTCCGGTCTTGCAAGCGGGAATCCGGCAAACCCCCCCAAAAAGAAGAAAACCGACGGACAAACAAGGAACGCAGTGATGCCGCATCGACTTACACAAGAACTTATATATGATTGCGAATCTGCAATGACGACCAATCGAAACCGCAGAACACTGATGAAGACACATCCAGAAACGATGAACACCAACGGGAACCTATGAAAAGACGATGATTTGCTGTGATGTCCCTTGTGCCTCTGAGCCTTTCCATGTTTCATTGGTTTTCTGTGATGTCAGGGCTGTGCGCTGCTGCTTGCCGAACATAAGCTGGCTGCCCTGCAACAACTTTCCTTTTGTAGCAATATTCCGTTTGTAAAGGTCTTGCAAGAATATTGCGGCGGTCGCACAACACTGTTATGGTTTGGCGGCCGTGCAACATGTGGTGTAACAATAATACAACAAATAATCCATCTGTGGAGGCGTTACAAAACGATTCCGTGCGTGGCGGCCTTGGGAAACACATTGTCGGTTGCGCCCTGGCGGATGTCGGTAAATCCCACGGGGAACAATGAAGATTATGAAACACCATGGGGTCAATGAGCACCCACTGGACATCCATGACGTCAATAATGTCACAACGGAAACACAACCCTACGACGGCACCACAATCAACCCTGACCGAAACCGAGTGAGACTGAGCACTACAGACACCACATAGCAACATACCAAAATATCAGCACCAACAGACACCAATGACAACACATCAGCAGTGAACCAAATCAAATGAAAGATGTGAACAAAAAACAACACCACACAATGAACACCAACTGACATCTATGAAAACACAGTGCTTTACGCATAGCATTGTTGTCAGTTGCGGTTTCAATGGTTTCATGTGTTTTCATGATTTTCATGGTTTCAAGTGTTGCTTGCTGGTGTTCGCCTTGATGTCCTGCAAAGGGGTTCCTATTGCGGCGTCCGTGCAAAAGGCTTCGTTTGATAACGACCTTACGGACTGAATTACGGTGGCCGTGAAAGAACGGTTTCCCTTTGCGGCGGCCTTGCAACACAAATTCTGCGGTGGTAGCATTACCAGCGCAGTCTTGTTTGTGGAAGTCGTACGAACATATTCCTCCTGTGGCGGCCTTTCATGCGGGATCGATGTGTGGCGCCGTGGCAATTGTCGGGGAGTTCCCAGGAGCACAAAGGAAGACCTTGCAAATTAAGGAAGACCATGCAGACATAGAGAAATACATTAACACCTGTAGATAAATCTGAAGTGACACTAGAAAGAACGGGAAACCATCCGAACACCTACAAACACCAATCAAGCAACAATGCGGCACAATGCGCACCAAAGCAAACCTATGAAATCACCGCATACACGACATCAACGCACTGGAATGTAATACAAACAATGAACACCAATGGCAACCAATGAAACCAAACTGCTTTCTTCTGGGTCTCGGAGTTTGGCATTGTGTTGTCTGTTTCCATTGATGCCCTCGTTCCCGTTGCTGTTTGCCGATAGTAAGCTGGCTGCCTTGCGCGAGGATTCCTTCTGTGGCGGCATTACACCAGAATTTCTTGTGTGGCGGCGTTACACAAGGATTCCTTTACTGGCAACCTTACCAAAGGATTACTATAGACGCTAGACGCGGCGTTACACAACAAATCCCTGTAACGGCCACCATAGAAACGAACTCTTACTGTTGCTGCTTAGGACAGTTATTCGAATCACGATATACTTTAACGAATGAGACACGGTGGAAGAAGACCAACCAACAAGTTGGAACGGAATGACGACATTGAAGACATTGGGGAACCACAAAACACGCGCCCTCTTCATCCAGCATCTTTCCCAGTCAAGGGGGGCATTCCCCGAGCTCATCACGAAACGCAGGCTGCGTATCACGTAGAACTGGATAAGGTTGCCAGGAACAAATAGCGAACACTCGTGCCGCGTCATATCCTTCTCCCATGGCCAGTGTTGGCCGGAGGCATGATTTGCACTTTGCACTTCGCCATAGTCGTCCCCTGAAAGATTCCGCCTATTGCAGCAGAAGCGGGAACGCCAAGGACCTCGACACACAAACTGATGCCAAGGTGCAACGACGATCCCAAGGCAGACGCTGCAGACCTCAAGGGAGCATCAGAGCCACGCCCGAGTCAAGTACGCGCAGACCCAACGAAAAGACGGAGCCCTCTGGCCTAATAAAGATGCACTGGCAGGGCGCGCATGCGCCAAATGCAAGTGCACCCTTGAAGACTGCGCTCGCGGAATTGGTGACATCCCGGAGCACGGGCAGGCCGAAGAGAGAAGGCGGAAACATATGAAACTACTGGCACACACGATCGCACAAACACTACCTCTTCCACACTCCCTCGTACCTCATTCTTCCCCCATCCCTCCTCCTTCTCCTCCTCCCCCCACTTTGGTCCAGCGGGCTGGCAAGGTTGACGTAAGCGTGTGCCAGGTTCTCGCCCGTCGAAAAGTCCGTCGGCACGAACACGAAGTCAATCCGTTCCAAGAAACCCAGGTCGTCGAAGAGGCCTGGCACAGGGGTGGGGGGAGATTAGCTGGAGCACCACCGAGACAAGACTCTTACGGAGAACAGGCGCCAACAGAGCGGAGGACGCTCGGCTGCGCGGCCGAACACGTTCACGCAAACATATGAGCTGCAAAGGCACGACGACGACAACACCATGTACCTCGCGCCGCCAGAAAACTGAAAAGGCCGAACGTTCACCATGGCTAACTCAGCAGGCCCGAAAGCTGTGATCATGTCCCTGCGCGCGGCCTCAACTCAGATGACGCCCCCGCCGAACAAAAACGGTGGCGACCCAAGCCTCCGCCTCAATGAGGTCGAGACCCTGAAACATTCACGACAACCAAGCGGGCCACTTGGCCCGTGTAAGCACGGTGTCCAGAACCACCCCCATGAGTTCCCCTGCCTTAAGGGGGACCGATGCGCCTCAAACAACCAGTTGGCCCGAATGATCCGAATTCGGTACACTGGCGCAAAACGGACAGGACTGTACTGCGCCACTCGCCGCACCCAACACCCGCCGACACTAGGTGCATCTATCCCCGTCACGCCAGGAGCGACAGAGCCCCGAGATCCTGGACTGCATTCGCCTGGCCGCGCACGGCCAGGCGGTGTCAGCCCCCAGACCCAAGGACCCCGTCGCCAGTTTCGCGGGCCCCTGGGGAAGTGCGGCGGAGGTGAGGGCAGCGCAGATTCATTTGAGACTTCGCGGCGGTTCCTTCGGGGGAAACGAAGTGCACACCTGTCGCCACTTTCGTGAGCTCCTCGGAGGCACGGCGGAGGTGAGGGCAGTGCAGATCCATTTGAGATCTCGCGGCTCCGTCGGGGGCTGCGAGCTGCACAATTGTCGCCAATGTTTGTGGGCTTCCGAGACGCACGGCGGAGATGAGGGCAGCGCAGATCGTGTACATACGGCGATGTTTTTTTTTTGAACGCTCATACGAATATGTGCCTCGCGTAGAGAAGGGGTTGAAATCGTCTCGGGCATTTTCTCTCCCCCATTGTCACACCCAAGGTGGCGAACGGGAGGCTACTTGCCTGTTGTCCTGAATACGGGGACCCACTGACACAGGTGCCGCAAAGGTGGAGAGAAGAGGGAAGAGGGGGAAAGAAATTGGAATGAACAGAAACGTAAGGGGGAGGGGAGGGGAAGAAACCATTAATGGGGGAGGAACATGCTAGGATGATGATGAAGTGGAAGCGGGAAATGAGGATGATCGGGGAGCGGGGAAGGAGGGGGGACGCGAGGAGGGAAGGACAGGGCAAAGGCAAGATGAGGGAGAGGAAGGGAAGTGGTGGAAGGGGGGAAGCAAGCGGAGGATGATGATGAAGGAGAGGATGATGAGGATCGCGCCGCATCGCCGATGCATCAGCGATGCAGATCGACCGCGAGCCCGATGCTCTCGCTCCCCCGTCGCCCCAGCATTAGCGACGCGGCGTGACCTTCGGACCCCATCTGCTCCTGTGCCTACAGCAATCTCGGCGGTGGACAAAACTCCCTTTAGTAAACCTCCCCTTAGTGAAAACGGCCTGGGGCCGAAACCGACGGACCTGGACCCGCAAAAATATGACGGCCGCGACGCCCTCTCGCGAACCGAAAACGGCCAATTCCTCAATCGACGTGTCAGGGTAGGAGGCCTATCCACCTCGGACTCTCGTGCTCTTCCCCCGCGCTGCTTTCCCTCCCCTCTTCCTTGGCCACGGGGCGACCTCTCGCGCAGGAGAAAAAAGCGTGTCGGCGCCAGCGCGTGCGTGTCCACCGGAACTCCTCAGCGTACGACGCAAGCGGGAGAGCGCGAAGGCCGACGCAAGCCGCGTGCCATCGGCGGAGCCCGACAGGATGCACATCCCGGGCAAACCAGCACTTTTTGTTGCGTCGGCGGCGAAGCTAACCAACACGCGTCGTCAGAATCATCGACAAAGGCCCCCGATAGGGGAAGCCACAAACGTACCGAGATGCCGCTGCTCCTTCCCGGGGTGAAGTCTGACCAGCGCTTCGAGGCGAATGCAGCGGTGGCGACGAGGGCCTCCCAGGAGGCCCCCCAACAGGGGCAACGAGGCATGGGTAGCAGTATGGTTAGGTCGGGCATGGCCCCCTACAGGCGGATTTGGGACGACAAGTAAGAATATATAAATACGCAGAAATCGAGAAAAAATCGAAACATCCTCCTGGGACTATGTCCTATGTTATGTTTGAACATTCCTCCTGTAGAAGGACACGCCCGACTTGCAAGGTAGCAGTATGGGCACGTGTTTCCTCTTCCGAAAGATCCTCGGCAATGGCCCCCGAAAGAACCGAGATAGCGGAACGGACTCCCAGACCAAATTCAGCATCATCATCAACAACATCAACATCAACATCAACATCATCATCATCATCATCATCATCATCATCATCATCATCATCATCATCATCATCATCATCAACATCATCATCGTCAGAATCATCATCATAGTCATGATCATACTGTGGGAGGTCTGGGAGACCCCCCGCCAGCTGCGGCGGCGACGGCAGCAGAACATGGCTTACATGAGGCATCCTAGATGGGGGGTCCGAACAGATAGGGTCGGAGGATCGCGCCGCATCGCCGATGCATCGCCGATGCATCGACGACGCATCGAAGATGCATCGGCGACGTCAGCGATGCATCGGCGCCGTCGGCGTGGAGAAACACGGGCCCCGCATCGAGCCGCATCGCCGATGTATCGGCGACGCGGCGCGATCCTCCGACCCCATCTACTCCGATCCCATCTGAGAGGCCTAGAATCGGTGACTCCAAAAGGTGTTGTTTGCAAAAGGTGTGGTTTACAACCGGCACCCTGGGGAACATCCTGGGGGGCACCCTGGGGGGCGCGCGGGGACCTCGATAGAGTTCTCCCGCGCCCCGAGGAGGCCCGACGAGGACAGCGTCGTGCCCCCCAGGCCCCAGCAGCGCCGATCGCAAACCACACACCGGCGTAACAATACCCTCTGCAGTCGCCGAGAGGGGCTTAGCGGCGAGGGGCCGAGGAGCATGTCGCGCGTGTAGCAGCGGGGCACGCCCTGCATGACGACCGTGGTGCACGAGGAGATGTCCGCGGGCCGCTGGCTCGCGATGCGCAGCTCCCGCCTGGACCGCGCGGCCCGCGCCTAGCCGCGGGGGGGGGGCCGTCGTCGTCGTCGTCGTCGTCGTCGTCGTCGTCGTCGTCGTCGTCGTCGTGGTCGTGGTCGTGGTCGTGGTCGTCTTGGTCTTGGTCGTGGTCGTGGTTGTGGTCGCGGTCGTGGTCCAGGGCCGAGTGGGGAGGATGATCCTGGGTTCAGTCGGGAGGATAATCCAAAAATCATCAAAACATAGTCTGGAGAGCGCTCATCGTCGTCGTCGTCGTCGTCCTCGTCGTCGGCGTCGTCATCGCCATTCAGGGTCGGCGGCACTGGCCAGAAGGCCTTCGCAATAGTACAAAAATACCATGGGGACGATTTTCTGTTCCTGTTTGATTATTGTTTTTTTTTTTGTTTTTGATATTTTCTAAGTTTCGTCCATGAGCCGCCTGTAGGAGGACATGCCCGACCTGAAGCAAAGGGGGGACGCCGAGGGGGGGGATGATGCGAGGGTGCCCTGGCTCCAAATCTGCCACACGTTGGGCGAAATCCGAAAGAGGCGCCGGAAACTCCGCCCCACTTGTCGAACTCAATTGATGCATCTTTCCGCCACTTTACCGCCGCTGATTCCGCTATACTTTTGCTGGGGTATTTGCCTTGCTCTACTGAAACGGAACATTCCACCCTACGTATTCGCATCTTTCGGGACACACTTCCAACACGATCTTGAATCGAAAAATCAACCAAAGTACGGCGGGGGAGGCAGGGAGGATGGGGTGCGCCACGGAAGCGTTGTTCGGAAGCGTTGTTGTTTTGTTTGGGAGAAGGGGGGGGGGGCGGGGGCCGGGGCGGGTTTCTTTGACATCCACAGCCGCTGAACCACCTATAGGCGGCCTACGCCGTCCAAGTCAACAGTCACGGAGCGTTCCTTGGACCATACTTCCTCGCGAGGAGCGTCCCCCGCAGACGTGGACTTCTCTTCCTCATCTGCAGCCGCCAAGGCTGCTGGTGCCCGGAGGGTTCGGGAGACAAGGGTCACCCAAACCTCGGAGCTACCCCCCCCTGAAGCGTAGAAGCAAACCAGACAACACTTCTGAGGGCCACGGATCCATCCCCCGCAACACGCCGCTTCGTGCATCGTATCCTTCGGGTGGCCTGTCGCGCTCCTCGAAAAGACTGCCAGCACGGCCCAGGAACGAGGCCTCCACGGTGGCCCGGCATCACTTCCAGTGGCGCCTGACAGCCCCCCCCGGGAAGTCCTCGAGGGGCGCCAAAGGGCCCCGTGCAGTTTCCAAGACACCCAGAGAAGGCCCAGAGGCCCTCGAGAAAAGCGGAGCGCACTGTGTCCAAATCCTGGTGCCTTTGGACAGTCGCATCCCCCGGGAAGCAGATCGGCAAGGCTCCAAGAGGGCATCGGAGGACCCACACCGAGGCCAGCAGAGTCCAACGAGGGCCTCAAAGAACCCCGCAGACGGCGCACGAGAGTCCCGAAGAGGGGCCCAGGGCAGCCCTGGGGGGCCCCAGAGGCGGCCCCCGAGACCGCCCCGAGTGACGGACCACGCGGCCGAGAGGGGGGGCCCAAGACACCACCAAGGGATGGCTCACGACAGCGCAACGATGGCTCCAAACCGGCCCCGCAGGAGCACAGGACACCGCCAAGACGGCCCAGGCAGGCCCCATCATGACCCCTGAACGGTAAGGGACGAGAGGTGACGAGTCACGGTCTCCTCGATGATCCTCAGAACGTGTGTAGGCGCCAACGTGTGCTTGCCAACTGAGGCCCTTCACTACGACGAAGTCGATGTGATGATCGACTGTTCGGGTTGAACGGGGTAACCACACACTGGGCTAACACACGTCCTGAGGATCATCGATCTTCTGGGCGGTGCTCCTGACGTCGCCGCACCGAGCGCTGCGCTGGAAGAGCAGCGAGGAGGGGGGGTGGGGGAGCGGGAGGGGTGGTCGAGCAGACGGAAGAAGAAGGGCGGGGGGTAGGGGGGGGCAACGTGGAAGGGGGGAGAGGGCGAAGGAGGGAGTGCGATGAGGGCGGGGAGCAAAAGGGGGGGTAGGTGCCAGAAACGCGGGTGGGAAGCTATGTATGCATGTATGTATGCATGTCTGTATGTATGCATGCATATACACATACACTAAGTCTCCGCACGCACCATGAATATCATGTTCTTGGAAATGTAGCAAGAAAAGACTGGCAGTTCAGGTGCGCGCGCCAGCCGTGGAGGCGGAGTTGTCGGAGAGGGTTACTTCCTGTGTTGGAGAAAAAAAGGAAGGGTGTTGAGTACTGGGTGTTGTGTTGTGGAGGGAAGGAGTGGAGCAGCAGGTAATTTTCAAGTTCAGCTTGGGGACCGAGGCTGTTGAGTAGTGGGCGTTGCGATGAAGATAACGGCTGCTAAGTGTTAACAGACGTGTGATAGACGGAGGGAGTGGAGTAGAAGATGAGTTTCAAGTTCAGCGTGGGGAATGAGGCTGGTGAGTATTGGCTGTTGTGTTGGAGACGGAGGCTGTTGAGTACTGGGTCTTGGATTGGAGACGGACAGGGGTGGAGTAGAAGTTGACATTCAAGTTCATCTTGGGGAAGGAGGCTGTTGAGTATTGGGTGTTGTGTTGGAGACTGAGGCTGTGGAGCATTTGGTGTTGTGTTGGAGGCGGAGGCTGTAGAGTAGGAGGTTATTTTCAAGCTCAGCTTGGGGAGGGAGGCTGTTCAGTAGTGGGTGTTGTGTTGGAGACGGAGGCTGTTGAGTACTTATTGTTGTGTTGTAGACGGAGGGGGTGGAGTGGAAGGTTATGTTCAAGTTCAGTTTGGGGAGGGAGGCTGTTGAGTATGGTGTGTTGTGTTGGAGACGGAAATTTTTGAGCACTGGGTGATATGTTGGAGACGGACGGCGGTCGAGTAGAATAGGATCTTCAAGTTCAAGTTCAAAGGTAGCATGGGAGATGAGATAGGGGACGGGCACGACAGGGTGGGCTGGGAGAGGAGGGACACGATGCGCAAGATGGGGGGGCTGCGACGCGAGGACGGCGACCACGAGCACGACGCCGACCACGGCGAACACCACGACGGCGAAGACCGCGACGATGACGCAGACACGCGCTGTCTTGACTTCTCCACGGCGGGCTCCCCAGAAGCCCTGACCCCTCTCTCCCAAGGGCCCCCGCTCCTCCTCGCGAGCCGTCTCCCTCGACCGCCCTGGGGCTCGGCGAGGGCCCTGGAAGCCGGAAAGGCCAAAAGCAATCCGCACGGTGCGCATTTTTGAAGGGGCCCCAGGACACACAAATAAATACACACAATTAAAAGGCTTCCCCATATTTTCCCATATTTTCTGGGTATTGTTCTTCCCCCCCACTCCTCATGTTTTCCCATATTTTCTGAGGAATCGGCGATTAATTGTGTCTGTGTGTTTCTTTCCCTCCTGAATGTTTCACGACGCGAGGTTGCCTGGTTTTCGGGTCTTGCCTCGGGCCTCCCGCGTCCGCTCGGGGCGACCTCGGGCAGCCTCGGAGCGCCCTCGGCGAGGCGCGGCTCCTGGAGAGCATCCCGACGCTGGAAGGGAAACCTTCAAGAGAGCCCCCGTCGTGTTGTTGTTGTTGTTGCTGTTGTTGTAATTGTTGTTGTTGTTGTTGTTGCTGTTGTCGTTGTCGTTGTCGCTGTCGTTGTCGTCGTTGTTGTTGCTAAAGGTGTTGTTGTTGTTGTAGTTGTAGTTGTTGTTGTTGTTGTGATTGTTGTTAAAGTTGTTAACGTTGTTAAAGTTGTTGTTGTTGCTGCTGCTGCTGTTGTTGTTGTTGTTGCTGTTGTTGTTGTTGTTGTTGTTGTTGTTGAACATTATTACTTCTAAAGAATAATTATTGTTGGGACCCCTGGTGCGCGACCCCCCTCCAAAACCTAGGCCGCAGCTACATTTTCATCATTTTTTAGCGAAAGCTTCAGAAAAGTGAATTATTACCGGATCCGGTTGTTTTGTTGTACTCCGTTTTCCCTTGCAAAAAACACTATAAAATGAAAATTCTTGTTCTTACTTGATCAAATTGCAAGAATCCCTTGCAAAAAATAAGGTAAAGTGGACATTCGTGCGCGCAAGACGAAATCCTTCCAAAACCTTAGGTTTCGTAGCGATTTTAACATAAAAACATCAAAAACCCAATGGTTTTTTAAGAAAAAATTGTCAAAATGTCCTTCCGCGCGCGCTGTCCGAATCCCACAAAACCAATGGTTTTTCAACATTTATGTTACATGAGCTCGCGCGAGCTACTTTTTCTTGTTCTAACATAATCAAATTTCAATAATCCCTTGCAAAAAATAAGGTAAAGTGGACATTCGCGCGCGCAAGACGAAATCCTTCCAGAACCTTAGGTTTCGTAACGATTTCAACATAAAAACATCAAAAACCCAATGGTTTTTCAAAAAAAAATGTCCAAATTTCATCCCGCGCGCGCTGTCCGACTCCCACAAAACCAATGGTTTTTCAACATTTATGTTACATAAGCTCGCGCGAGCTACTTTTTCTTGTTCTTACATAATCAAATTTCAACATCCCTTGCAAAAAAAAGTAAAGTGGACATTCGCGCGCGCAAGACCAACAAAAAACACGACGATCTCAGGAACTTGCCCCAAAAATGTGACCAACTCCGCTCTCTCTGTCTCTCTCTCTGTCTGCTCTCTGTCTCTCTCTCTGTCTGTCTGTGTCATGTATTGTATGTCACAATTGCAGGATGCTGGGCACACGCGCGCCCCGAATAAGTGACCAAGTTCTGTGGGTGTGTACCCCACGCCAGTGTAGTAGCCACGGTCGTCCGCACGCCACGAAGTGAAGTGTCCCAACGTCATAGGGCGGGAAGCTGGGTTTGGGTGGTCGCGAAGAGTCGTTTGGATATTTGGTAGAGCTTGAACTGCCCCCCCACGAAGTGGGGGTATTGTCTCGCGTCGCATGAAAACCCTGGCACTGGTGAGAACACTGAGCGTTCGGGTAAAATGATTGTTGTTGTTGTTGTTGTTGTTGTTGTTGTTGTTGTTGTTGTTGTTGTTGTTGTTGTTGTTGAAC